TATATATATATATATATATACACATTTAGCGTGTCAGTGACGATCAATAAAACAATTGCAGCAAATAAATCAAAGTCTTAGTTTAACTAGACCATTCATCGGGACTCATACACCAGAAGAAAAGTTGTTAATGATATTAACATATAGGATACTGGGATGCAGTTGATATAACAACTATCGCGATGTGAGTGAAGTTGAGATGTACAAACAATGAGATTTAAGAGGATATCCGTGAAGTGTGCTCCCCATAATTGATATGTAGCCGACAAAGCAAACAAAGAAAAGACCAATCAAGATGTGAATGCGGTGGAGATGCACAAAAAAAAATATCCCACATGCAAAGCAAACTAAGAAAAAACCAATAATGTGATAATATATGCAAAGTGCTAATTAAAGTTCATCTTCAAATACATAATTAAAAAAGAAAATGGAAAATGTATTATTACATTGATGAGTTAATCAAACAAAATAACATGGTATTAATAAAAAAATTAATTAATATGTCCTGAATATATCACTTAAATGCTTGTTTTGGTTTCTTTTTTCAAAACTTTTTTATTTTTTTGTTTATTTCTGGATTTTATGTCCTTAATGCAGAGCTAAGGTTCATTTTCAAATATGTTAGGTATTTAATATATAATATTTGAGTTATTATTGACATCAACAAGAAAATGCTGTTAAAATTTTTTTTAAAGATATGAATCTTTTATCAATGAAATGGAAAGCAGCATCAAATTTTTTATTGCTAGTTTAGAACTTGCATTATGCAGAATTTAGTTTGATAAAAGCCTGCATTAGTTCTTCATTTGACTCATTTAAATTGGTTCTTTTGCTTACTGAGCATTTCTTTTATTCCAAATTTAACTTTACATAAACTGAATATGTAAAACCACAAAAATCTCCACCAGGACAGCTCATGCGTGAAATACCTTTTTCTGATGTTGAAACAGCCAAGAATGAAATTTAAATCAGAATACTCCATAAGGATGCTGATATCGATACAAAATCCATTTCAACTTTTATGGATAAAAATATGATAGTATCACAATTCTGATTCATGTCCGGCGAACATAGATATTGATACAAATGCAATGAAATCCAAATACATCTTGAATTTTACTCCTCTGCTGATGTTAATCAAAATTAATTATTCTGAACATCGTGCTGATCATTTTAAAAAACCTTCAAGAGATAAAATGAGCAGAGGACAAGCAAGCGAAGGAATCAAATTTTCTCTATGCAATGTTACAAGGGAGAGACAATTGAAAAGGAATATGTCCCTGACTAATTGTCATACTAATAAAAGCATATATGTACCTATATCTATAAACAAAAGAGGATAAAAATATCAAATCTATATATATATATATATATATATATGTATGTATGTATATATGTATGTATATATTTCTCAATGATAATAAAAGATTATGATAACAAATTGTACAGATTCTCACTACTAACAATTAAGGATATGTGATTAAGTTATGGTGATAATAAAAACTAATAATCATGGCGTCTTAATACACTACTAAGTTAATAATTATCTAGCAAAAGAAGCTGTCTATATCATCCAAGGTTTGTATGGTATGCAGAAAAAACTTTGCTTAGCAAACAAACCATTTAGAAGCTTTATGAAGAGAGAAGCCCTAGTACTATTGCTTGACAGAAAAAAAGTGCAAAGTAAATGATGTTTGATATAGTCACTTTTTTGCAATTGGTTTATTATAGTGCCAGTGCATATTTCCTTATATGAAAACGCCCATTAAACTATAACATTAACAAAAAAATTAAAATGTAATACTAGTCAAATTACAATTTGCCAACATTTTTTTGAATAGCAAGAACAGTGCTACAAAACATACAAGTACTTCGGTATAAAAAAAGTCCGGTAACTAATAGCAAGCCAATTGCGCATGCATCCCATTTATTTTAAAAGTACTTTGAACCCAATTATGGTGAAGCAACATATGGCAAACTTCAAGAAAATTTGACTAAGACGTGAAAAGGGAAATTTAGCTCATTTCAATGAGTGTACACTTTTACTAGATGGCCACTGACACAGATTAATTAAAAGGGGAAAAAATAGGTACCTCAAATAGAAAATTTTCAAATTTTGAAAACATAAATACATTTTTTTAAACTTAAGGACGTTCTTCATCATCATTATTGCCACCAAAACAACCTTTATCCCAATTACTTTAGGTCAGCTTTAAGAGTCCTTAATTTGGAAAAAAATATTACACTGAGTGATATATATATATTTATATTCAAAAGTTTTTGAAAAATGTATATGTTCATCTAGGAGTATCCCTTCTCCTTCATAACTCTCTGACAAATGGTTTTATCTAATGGTTTATGGGAGTATTTTTACCCTTAATTATACGCATCCAAATCATCTCAAATTCCTCTTTTACAAATAATATGACTCAAGAAAATCCTCTAATATAATCATTCCATATTTTTTCTTTTATAATGTGGTCATATATATATATGTATATATATATATATATATAAATTATAGGCGCATGAGGGATGATCGGGGCTTGTATAATAGCCTTCGGTCATTTTTTTAAAAAAAGAAATAAAGAAATAAAAAATAATGTATATTTATGTATATATATATATATCTGTGTGTGTGTGTGTGTGTCGTCAGCTGTGGCCTATTTGTAGAGCAGCCTCTATGAAGTTCTCAAGTCCCCTCAGATCACGGGTTCGAATCCTCTTCTGGCCAGTTTGCTGGTAATGAAAGCGGTTCTCGAATAGTTAGGCACATAAGGGTAGTTGAGGGCTCGTATAATAGCCTCTGACATACCTATAGATGTATGGATGTATACATATATATGTATGTATATATACATGCATACATATGTATGTATATATATATATATATATATTTGTATACATATATGTATGTATATATATATATATGTATATATATATATATATTATAGACACACACACATGCACACACACACACGCTAAACACTCAATTTCAACACGTTCAATTTAGCTATCAATGACTTCTTCACCCTCAATGTTTGGATTGATAAAAAATCATCATCTTAATTATAACTTTATTGAATCTACTATCAAATCTTTGTGATATCTTGTGATCATAATACTCCTAAAAACTTCTTTTTTCTAACTACTCAGCCTTACCTATTAAAGTCACATTCATATTTAAATTTACATTATTTTATACAATAGATCTAATATCCTGAAATTTATCATCTCACTTTATCTTAAAATTGCACCTGCAAAACTTGTAGAAAGTATTTGTTCTGCAAATTCTATCTCGCTATCTACTAAGTATTTTATTTACCATTCGAACTTCTTAACTGTTTAAGCACTTATCTCACCAATTATAATTATGTTATTTGTAAAAGCATAAATTAATGGACCGCACCTCTTCATATGTAATAACAAAAAAAAAAGATGTATACAAGACTCAGAGTTGATTCTTGATTTAATCTTACTATAATAAAAACTTTTCTCTTTTACTAACATTTCTGAATTATGAAAGTCACCACAATTTTTTGAAAATAACGTAAAGCAGCAAAGGGAAGCATGAAACGAGCAAACATAAACTACAAGTTAGAAGGGGGGAAATCTAAAGGTCGGCAGATAGTACCATTAGATTTCAAGACACTTGCAACTGTCATGCCCTATTCAAGATGACATTAATGAATAATACAGAAAGAACGGAAGTCAGGACATACACAGATGCTTTCTCTGGTGGAGTCACAAATGAAGGATTCGGGTATTTCTCCTCGATGATCTGGGTTATCACATCCGAGTCGGGTATCCATTTGTCTTCTTCGATTTTGAGCACTGGGACCTTCCCCTCGGGGCTAATCTTCAAAAACCTAAAAAATACATATCGAATCAAACTAACGAGAAAAAAGATCCCTAGCAAATCAAATAGACAAAAAAACAAATCCAATTCACCAATCCGGCTTCTCACTCAAATCAACCCGCTTCGCTTCGTAGGGAATTCCCTTCTCTTCCAAAGTTAGGAGAACCCTTTGCGAAAATGGACCTGTTACGTTGCATCAGAAATGCACTTAGAAGAAGAGACTAAGATCGAACGAGAAAGAGAGGAAGAGATATGTTACAGTCGCCGATAATGTCGGGAGAGCCCGCCGCGGCCTTGACGACGACCTGGACGGGTTCCGGTAGCGGAGTGGTGGCCATTTCCTAGAGAGTAGAGCTTTCGGTACGAGTCCACTGGCCCGGCTATTTATTGTGCATGGCAAGGAAAAGGGCAAAATTTCGGGGCCATGAATGTTCATTGAATTTAGACATGTTGGAGACGTAAGGATGATGCTTGAATTTGTCTTGCAGCTCACCAGCCATAAGATTCCAAATTATTCGAGATGGTTGATGATGCCTTCCCATGTGCAATAACTGAGTGAATTTTGTAATAATTATAATATTAATTATTAGGAGCTTTGCATGCATAACGCATAATTCTTTTGTATTTACAAGTTTATTACATAAATTTTAATTTCTTACATTATAACATTCAAATATTTAATCACATAAAAAATATTACTATTGCTAATCTTTGGAAAGTGAAATGCATATTTCCATATTTAGACAAAGAAGCATGAATGTAAAAGTTAAAACTTAGGTTTTCGATGTATAAATACATAGGAATTGTGGGATATGTATGTAAATCTTCCTAAACAACATCAAAAGCCAATGGAAGAATCTCAGCCATCCCCCAAGATCTTCTCATCTAGGAGCGAATATTTATCAGATTATGGTGATTCATCATCTACCGAATAGCCTAACTTCACCCAGCCAACAGAAGCTCAGTGTCAGAGATTGACTTCATTTAGCCGATCTAGTCAACCTTGTCGACCTTTTACTTGTAAGAATCCAGTCAACTAGAGACATCAAACAAAGTCAATCGACAATCTAATTTGACCTAGTCGACCAATGGGCCTCTATAGCTTAGCTGACCGGTGGCTCATATCCAAGAGCTCTTTACTCTAGCCAGTCAAGCCTTAGAGCCCCCAGGCTCTGGGCCTACATATGTAAAATATAGATAATAATCTATACAACCCCCTTTAAAGCAGGAGCACATGTGTAAATTCACATATGATACCCCTTTCACTATAATAGGGGATTATTTCATGAATAAAATGTTTCACACTTGCTCTCAACCACTATTCATTTCTCTCTCTCTCTCTCTCTCTCTCTCTCTCTTGTCTTATACTTTATTCATTGGGTGTGATACACGGTTAAATCAGGATCTAACATCCTAAAAGGTGCGGTGAGTTTGAATCATGCCAACAACAAAGAAGAGGAGTAGCATAAAGAGAAGAAATTCAACACAAAGACACCACAAATATGGAATATAACATAAAATTTGTGCAACAACAGATCCAAGAGTTACAAGATCATAAGATGGAAGCCCTTGAAGAGGTAGTGGCTCGGAGAAGGGAGCAGAATCCTTGAAGCAAAACCCTTGAGAAGAAAAGCTAGCACCCATCGACCAAAGGGTGATCCAGTGCCTGGAAAAGATTGTAGATTCTAAGTGTCAATACAGTGATGGGTCAACATTGATGGATAGATAATGATTCAGACTAACCGAAGCACCCCGCCGCCAGCCAAGGAAAGTATTCTCGTGGCAAAATTCTGAAGCGAAGCCCCTATAGAGATTTATAATTCCATCACTAGAATCCTACAAGGATCATATTGATTCAACCAATCACATAGCGTCCATCAATTTGACCATATGTATGCTAAAAATCACTTAAGGGTTGCATTGTCAATTATTTTCACCATGCTTAGCTACTCACCCCTTAAATGGTTCAACAAATTGTCAGATTGAGAAATTACTTCTTTTACGGATTTCAAAAAAATATTTGTGGTACTGTTTGCTAGTGCCCAAAAACTGCAGGAGTTTACAAGCTATGTTGCATATCAGGTAGGGGATAAGCGAGAGCATTTGCTCATTTGTCGCTCAATTCCAGAACAAAATACTGGAGATGTGGGATCCGTAAACCACGTTAGTGAATGTCGCCCTAACTCAAGAGTTGAAGGAGGGGCCTTTTCACAATGCACTAGATTTTCAGTGGTCGAAGACCATAGCTAAATTGTTGAAGCTGGCTAACAATCATCAATCCACGAGTACAATTCTGCCATCACTTCCACTAGAGCGGAGTCAACCATCCGTCATCTATAGAAGAGGGCTCATAAAGATGATAGCTGGAGACCAAGGAAAGAATCATGCCCATTTGTTTGGTCTTTATCAAAGACAATCAGACGCCTTAAATAACAGGGGGACCGACATAAACCACAACCAACAGAGTCTGACTCGATACAATGACCAGCAGTTGGCTCATCATAATGAGCAACCTCTAAACCCCAAAGATGACTCCGCTGAGAGTCTCAATGAATGAGCTACTTGAGGCCATATAGAACAAAGAGTAGTTTAAAAGGCACTATCGATGAGAGTCATAACTTTTCTACGGGATATTAAGAAGTAATGTGCTTATCATAGGGATCATGACCACAATACAAAGGAATGCAGAACCCTTTGAAGCTTGGTCAAGGAACTGATCAGAGCTTGAAAACTCAAGGAGTTTGTAGCATCATTTGCGATGAGCCGAAGATAAGGGAAGGCCCAATAAAAGAAATTTCATATGAACAAGTCTAAGCGAATGTCATTCATTTTGTTAGGATATCACCAACTATTTTTAGAGGAGGTGGAAATAACACCAACTATTTTTAGATGAGGTGAAAATTTTTCTCGTTGAGCCAGCCAGAAAAGATTTGATCTAGTTAATTATGCATAACTACTCATGCTCCAATGTGCACCACCCACCTATCGATCACATTCATAAATGTAGATCAGCTCCGCTAGAGGAACCCATACATCAATGTTATCTTTATCATTGTTATCATAAGTAACTATCAAACTAGTAGCATCTTGGTTGATATTGGTAGTTTCATGAAATTTTTGTTTAAGTCGCTCTTCGATAAGATGGAACTCTGACCAAAGAAAAATATGTTGAAGTTTTCATACATATTTTACACTGTTTTTGATGATATTGCACTTTAAAGAAGGGTATTTTTGATGTTTTGTTGCAGGTATGATGAATTATGGTCATTGGAGCAAAAAGATACAAAAACGGTGCAATTTGGAGAAAAAACGAGCAAGAAATGAAATTTTGCCTTGTCACATTTCGATAAGTCTTTTGATGCTTAATTTATTTTACACTTCTTGCATATTTTTAAATGAGATTACACTTTAAAGGAAGATTATTTTCATGTTTATTTTGTAGGGCTATCTGTTAGGAACACAACATAACTGAAATGGGGGCGAAACGGAGCTAAAACGGAGTCAAACGGAGCGAAACGGTGGAGCTGCGCAGTCTGCTCGCCGACAGCGCCCAAAACGGCGTCGACGGTGAGATTTACCCGAGAAGATCAAAAAATGAAAGATAAGCTCGCCGGCGGCTCCCTCGAGCCCTCCGACAGCGCCCGGGACCACTATGGACCGACTTTTGGCGGTTATGGGCCGAAATTCAATGTATTTGGACGCTTTTTGAAAGGATACTTGTGGTAACTCTTCAAACTTCGTCCCAACACTTTAAATGAACGAATTTAGGTTAGAAAAAGAGGGTTTTTTTGTGAGAGGAATGTTAGGAAAAGTGTGGAGAAAGTTTAGAGTTTTTAGAATAGGAGTAGAAATGTAGATTTCTACCTTTTTGGAGAGCTTAGAGAAGAGATTTTGAGAGAATTTGTAAAGAGATGTTCTAGCATTGCATGGATCGGCAGGAGACTTTGTGGAAGAGATATTCGTCTTTCTTTCAAAGGGAAAAAGCTAAGTATTGTGTTCCTCATTATCTTTTGATTTTTGTAAACACTTATCTAGTGGATTTGCTTTGGTTAAATAAAGTTTCTGTTGTGTTTTCTTCGTGCTTTGTGATGGGCTTCTCTTACTCTCTCTTCTTGTTTGGAAATAATGGTATGAGAAGATTATGTCATTGTTTTCATTTTATTTTTCTTTTGTAATGAGTAGAGTTCATGTTTAGGATTTTGTGATGCATGTTAGAAGCGGATTTAATTATCAATGTAATGGTTTTTACTTTCACTTTATTTACATTATAATAAAGGTCTGTTGTAGTGTTAAAATACGTTGTAATTGCATTAAGACTCGAAATGACTGTGTAATTCTCAACAAATTAGAACCACATTCAGATTCCATGGATGGTTAAGTTTATGGGAGTTGAATGCAAATAAATAGAGAAATATACTTTGATCGGTGTAGAATTGGAGATTTTAGGGCGACAGACTAAAATTCCCAATTCGGTCATATTGTTTGAGTACTGAAGCGGAGATGTTAGCCCTCAAGCAAGAGGAACATGGGAGCCCCGAAGTGAGAGCCGGTATCCTCTCAGCCTAACCACTGATTCAGTAAACAAGCATAGGATTAGTCAATGTTCTTTATGCTTGGACTAAAGGATAAAGAATAGGATTGCTCCTATTTGGCACATACAATATTTAATGCATCTCTTTCCTTTACATTATCCAATTCATTACATAGAAATAGTAGTTTTTAATATCTCAAAATTCTCCAAACCAATTCATCCAAAAAAGGATATCTTTGGAATTAATATTTACATTTAGTTATAATTATTATATTTACATTTAACACTTATATTTAGGAGTAGTTGCTAGATAAAACATCATTTTAATCGACATTCCAAACTAAGGACTAATTATAGTAGACTAGAATTTAACTAAGGACCTCTTACCTCACTTCCCTGTGGGATCGATAAATGGGACTCCACTAGAGCCCTGTATTACTTGAGCGATACATATACTTGTGTTTGAAATTGTGACTTTACAAAATCATTATAAATATATAAATCTGGGTTCATAAATTCTTGCATATTAAAAGTTGCATCAACTTTTTGGCGTCATTGACGGGGGTTTAAATCTTCTAGTAGTGGTGTCAAATTTTTGTATTTTTAAGCATATATAAAGTCATTGTCAGACTCAAGAATGATCGGCTAACAACACCGGCCAAAACTCTTTATGGCTTCTCGATCGAAAGGAAGGAGGCCTAAGGAATTATCGCACTGATAGTCACTTGGGGAGAAAGTAAAATGCAGTTCACCTTTTTAGAGGGATTTTTTTGTGGTTGACTTGTTGTCAATTTACAATGTCATTTTTGGTTGAACTTTACTTAACGACTTCAAGGTCTTGGTTTCAACATACCACATAGTAGTAAAGTTTATGGTCTCA